AAGGGTAAAAGGTGGTAAATGATGGTTTTGGGGTTATTTTTCATTGTTCCACAAAAAAGTAGGGTAGGGGCTGTCAAAATAGGTTAGGTAGGGTAACCGGAAGCAGAACTATTTTTTTGGCCTTAACTGTGGTGCTGGCAAAACCCCAAAAGTTTGAACACTTGGCACTATGTGTTTTTGGCCGTGATTTTGTGTTCAGGGGCCGGGCCAGTTTTGACTGAATTGCCTGAGGCAGTACATGTGCTCGTTGTTCCATGGTCGAACTGCAGAGCATTATTTCCTTCAGGATGTTGTGCTTCACTCGTGATGTTTCTACTGTTTCGCGTGATTTTAGTTGCCATCCGCAATTTGTAGGCCTCTGTAATACACATTTTGCGGTTGGGTTCACTGACATCGTAATTTGCAATAATCCACAATTTCACTCTAACTGGTGATAACAACCAGTGACTCATTAACACTACATAACATGAATGTATTCTGTGGTTTTTAGACTGTATACCGCAAAAGATTTCGTTAGCCATGATTTATGGAAGAGAAAACAGAAATGTGACGCGGACGCCAAACAGGCCTATGAGTATGATTTTAACCAGGAATGAATATCCTGTCCGCACAAGTTCACCGTTTCATGTCGCGTTCCCTAAAACCTGTATTTAAACACTAATTGTGGCTTCAATTCAAAATGGGGGGCTAAGTAACCAGACTATTTTTGAATGATTGCAGTACTTGCCTTGTAATGTTTCCACGTGTTTTTTTCCCTTCGGTTTTGACGAAAACATGGAACAATGATTCATCCGCAGTTTAAAATTGATCAAGATACTTGTTTTTGAAATCTATCTCTATTTCATCGACTATTCTTCCACTTTGTAATTAAAAAAATACCTGCAGTACTTTTATATTTTTCGTGAGCCAATTCTTTTCGCTTAATTCTAGTCTTAATTAGCAAATTTCAGAGCTATGATTGTATGAAGATGGACATTCTAATTATACAACCATACATTGACCACGGTGTTCTTGTACAACGGACCCTGGCCATTCCGTTGTCATATGAAAATCGGATGTGGAAATCGGACTCCGTTACCCTATTACATGTATTGGTTAAACCCCCTCACGTGACCGGTCACTCTCCTAATTATCATACTTACGCATGCGCAATACTACCAAATGAATACGTATTTTCATAGAGTCCTAAATAAATTCAAGCTGCAAAGCTACCGCACTCGCATTGCACCGTACCCTAAACGAAAATCCATGTGTTCAAGTTCTGCTACACTGAACGTGTGCATGTACATGTACATGTACATGTACATGTTCAGGTACAGAGCATCGCGCACAATCTAAATCCTGCACGTACGCACCCTGTACATCCCAAACACAGGCCGGAAATATTTAATACTTCATTTAACCACGGTGGTTGAACGCCTTGCAATAGGCGCAAGGTCAGCTACAATGTGTGTGTTATCTGAAACCTTTTGGCCCAATAAGGTGGCCCTGGACCCTGGATTATTTACAACGCAAAACTAGCACATGTTCGTTAGTTATCGCATCGGCACCACTCAGAAATAATGAAAACATTGATGTATGGAAGTCCTTGGTTGCACGCCCCTTTGGTTTGTTCGTGCGCTGCACCTATGGAGCTTTGTGAATTGAATAAAGCTACATGGTTGTAACCCGTTGGCCCTGAACATAAAAGAAATGACCAAATGGCCATTTACGCGCCCTTTTTGTGCGACCCACTGGACACCTGCTGACCTGAGCCGAACCAATGGATTGCCCATCACCTGCCGAGGTCGGGGGTCGTTTTTAGTGGCTGGATTCGCCACTTCGCGAATGGTCCACGAGTAAAGGGTTGCAGACCACTAGACTGCATGCCAGACCTCAGAGATAATAACGCGCACTTCCCAAAATTATTAAAAATACTCGCAACTCTCACAGGTGTTCGAGACACACATCAAATTAAAGCTTATTTCATCATCGTCAACTTCTATTCAATTGTTTTGGGGTTAACGAATGACTTTTGGGAGAACATTCCATTCAAAGACGATCACCCCTAAAAGTATTCCTGAAGCCCATCGCCATTTTGAAAAAGGACGCCTACACTCCATTGCAAAATATAGCCATATTAGGGCCGAATTTCACAGAAATACGAGCTGGCAGTACTCTTCACGACTTCCAACTTTTTTTTTTATTTTTACAAACCCTCAAGTTCATGGCCCGCAAAATGCTGTAAAGTGTAAGTGTAATACCGGAGAGTTTGAGGGCATGCAAATCGTGATTTGGCCAGCGTAGGCAATTTCGGGCCTATTTACTGGCCTGCATCCTTAAGGGTACCCCCCAGTATAAATATTCCCAAAGACACTGGTGTTAAATCCCCATGCTTCAAAATTCTTTTAAAAACACTCAGAACTCTCACATGACTGCACAGAAAAATGATGATCAACATGTCATCTTTCATTTTCTTTTCAATTTGTGGTGGGTTGACCATTGACTTTCTGGAGAAATTCTCAATCCAAAAAGAAGACCGCCCCTGAAACCAATGATGCTTCCAAAACTGGAAACGTTGCCATTTTGAAAAAAAAAGATCCCTCCACAACATGGCTAAATAGCCGCCACTTTCGGACCCAATTGTTTCCAAAATGCTCAGAATTGGAAGCCCCAAGTCCAGGCCAGAGGTGCAGTGCCATAATGTCTTTAATTCCATGGCTCTCAGAACTCTGTAATATAGAATAATTTGAGTGTATAACTTTTATTTATGAGCTCGGCGGACGGATTTTTGGCCTATTTACTGGCCTATACCCTTAGTGGAGTAATTATCGTCGCCAAGGAGGTTATTCTTAATTGGTTCATTGGTCCGCATTTGGACCACAGGAATTCGTCTTGGAAGTTTGCATTACCACGACACATTATTTTGATTTGTAAGATGATAGTTTTGAGATTGATTGGCTAAATATCCGGCGGTATCACCACATTACATCGGTATGCTGTAATCGTCTTCTGTAGTGTTGGAACACCTTTGTTCTTATTCGGTTGCTAATTGACACTTTGTTCAGCTGGCATTTAATTTAAAATTTATCGAAAGGCTATAACTTCGAATATTAAACACAGCGAAACACTAATCTTAATTAGCTCATGCAACTGCAGGAGATTTTACCGACTTTGAAGTTTCCTTGAGTTATTGCTTGACAATACATTTAAATGCCGACCACTCGTCCTTTACCCTGACTTAAACCTTCCACAATATCTTAGATTCAACCCTTTCCCTCTATGATCACTGATACGTTTACTGCGTCAATTTGGTCAAAGCTATCAAACCCAACCTTTTTGTAATAAATTTACTCCAAAAATGGACCGCTTGCCGATAAACGCCGATAAAACCTGAACTTTGTCATGGTCATTTTATGAACTTGCATGGGCCAACAGCCGACGATACAGTTGTGGTTCGTTACGTGACATAAAGGAGAATCAGGTGACCTTTCACAGTATATTGTTTTTATAATAACGAAAGAGATACCGTGACCGGAAAACGAAAATGCGATAACTGGAACTATAAATACACATTATTATGATAATTAATGATAAATGCATACATTGTTAGGAATGTCCGCTTGCATTTGGTTTAAGAATACTCAATAGGCGTACCTAGTTGACCTAAATTGAGGGTCTTTAATGTTCATACATGCAAAAAGAAGCATTGACGCTCAGTTTTGAGTAGAATCGTGGGGAAAACATGATAAAATGGTGTTTTGGTGCTAGGCCGGGATGCCCAAGTGATCTTTGATCTAGGGTTTAGGTATAAGAAATAATATCGTCCGAGTACGAATTTTGCTTGCATTTCATTATTGTGTACAATACATTTCTCTTTGATTATTACTCCACATAGCTGTTTCGCGATTTTTTTGGGTGTTATTTAGCAGTTGCTATGTCTCAGTTTATACACGAATATGACAAAATGTCTAACCATAACTCTACTCTATAGAGGGCATGCACAACCATTTTCCCACAGTAAACTTATGAGTGATTTGACCTCAGTGAGGTCACGTTGTGCATCTCTCTATAGGACTGGGGACATCATACGCACGAAGTCTATTGATGGACACATAAGTTATTGGAGAAAAGATGAAAATATTTGTTTTTCTGGTCGTAAGATTTGCGTAGAAGCTATTTTTCTGCGAAGAATTGCCCAGTTTTCTTACTGTCTGAACCGCCTACGGACCAGATTTATTCGGTATTATCCGGTATTATTAAACCACGCAATGTCCCCATGCGATTATTCCGTTGTCGAATAGTCGTCCGGAGTTTGACATTTACATATTGTTCTAGACCGGCTGTGAGAACAAAACAAATCTGAAGAGGTTTTTTTAGGGGGCCCATGGGCTCATATCCTCAGTATTTGCTTCTCGTCAACATAAAGAGAACTCGAAAAATAAAAAAAATCACTTCTAATCAAATAATTTTATCAGGATGTTGATCTGATTTCCTGATTGGAAAGATATTTCACATTTGATTCGTTTAAGGAGAGGAAGTGTTACATTAAGACATTTTTAAATATCATTTTTACGACGTTGTTTCGTAAACAGATGGACTTTGCCTAGTCTCCTGTCCCGGTCGTTAAAAGCCACGATTCGTTGGAGGCACAGGGAACATTTTGCAATCTGAGTTGTTTTCTGTTTGGATTCTTGAATTGAGTCTAATATTATTCTGTGTGAGTGTGTGTTCAACGCTGTATGGGTTTTACCTAAATGTACGTGTATTTAGGTTTTGTGATGTTCTTTTACAAAAATGTACATGGGATGTTTTTAACCTTCTTTTGTTTTTCAGCCTGCCTGTGCATAAAAACATTGGTAACTCTATGAAAATTTCCCCAGATCATTTTTTTTTTATGCCCGAATTAACTTGATCTTTTTTTATGTCCGAATTAACTTGCCATATTCACAAGCACTATCAATATACTCATTTTAGATCACCCGCTCTAATTAGCACGATATTCTTCAACTTTTCTGCAGATGGAACGGAGGGCGATTCGCCAGCGGGCGCAGCGGCAAGGGCCCCGGGCGCCAGGGCGTCGCCGACGGCCGATGAGGGCAAGCTGTGCTGCGGTCGGTGCAAGTGGTTCGATGTCTCCAAGGGCTATGGCTTCATCACGCCCGACGACAAGAGCGGAGATGTGTTCGTGTACCAGGTGAGGCTACAATCCCGCCCAAAATGGTTGGGACACTTCCCTAGCCTGCCACGGTCACCCACTCCCCCGCTCCCCCGGTCAATGTTGTTCTCTCCAGCTTTTGGAGCACACACCGCGCAATGCATAATGAGAGACAACATTGAGCGGGGGCCAGGGGGTTGGGTGCCCAGCGAGATTTGGCAAGGATTGTAGACACAAGCCTTGGAGTTTTTGAAACAATCTTCCTATTCAGAAACTCACAGTTCTCGAAGCTCGGGAAACGGGAAATGCTAGCTTTGGATTACATAAACTCGACATTATTCAAGACTGATAAAATTGATCATGGCAAGGATATTAATATAAATCCAACCACTCTGTACAGGGTGAGTCAAAAAGAAAGTGACCCGAATTAATGACTTTTTTTCTTAAAAAGTAATCAAATTTGAAACACCAATATAGTATATCTTATAAGAGCAAGTTCTTCCAATTATCTCAAAAAACTGAAATTGATCCATGCTATCAGAGATTATGCACGCTTTACTGAAAGAACCCATAAATATAGCTGTCCATGGAATGCCATTGATGCCACAGATTACACACAAGCATTCATATATAATGATAGTTGAATCATTTAAATCAAGACTGCAATGGTATTTTTACCGTCAGATGTTGTGTTTTGAATATAAGGAACAAGTCAACATTTTTTTCTGAAATATTGATGGCGATTTTTGTATGTTTTCCTTTGCAAGTTCTTGTTCATTCATCGAGGTGGGAAAACGTCAAAGTTTCAAACACTCAACCAAAAAAGAAAGTCCCCCCCCCTCCAATACTTTTTTTGTCTAACTCAAAAACTCAAAAACTGCTGAGCACCTCTCCCTCAAATAACGACTAATCAGTACAGAAATTCCTTAGCAATACAGCCATACTCTTTATTTGGCCCCAAACAGTGATAATATGTACGAAATTATGCAATTTATGACAAACGATACCGAAAAACAGTTGCACTTTACGTGCAAGTTGTGATTCACACTCACTTTGCACGTATACAAAAGTGCAACTGTTTTTCAGTAGCATGTGTCATAAATTGCATAATTTCGTACACATTATCACTGTTTTGGGCCAAACGAAGAGTACGGCTGGATTGTTAAGGAATTTCTGTACTGATCAGTCGCAATTTGAGCAAGATGTGCCCAGTAGTTTTTGAGTTAGACAAAAAAGTATTAAGGGGGAACTTTCTTTTTTGGTTGAGTGTAGTACTCAATGGGAATTCATCAGTTCGTAGAACGGTAAATGGTCAGTGGTGGACAGCGGAGTTATGCGATCTTTTTATTGAAGTAGGCATAAGTAACGTGGGAAAAGAGTATGCAAATTACGTGACATTTTCACAGTTACAAGACAATAAAGAGGTATCCATATGTTCTTTTGATGAAATGGAACAAGCTAAATATTTTACAAATATTTTTTTCAAATTAGGTCACTTTCTTTTTGACCCACCCCGTGCAGCCAGAGACATCCGAGCTATCGCGAACAAATCCGAGTGTTAACGAAAACGTGTTCGGAAAACTTCGGACGTTTTCGGAAACGGTCAGAATCCTTCCCGTTTTGGTATTGTATTGGCAGCCTACCTTGCCTTCAGAGTAGTCAGAACCGTTAGGTCTGGGAACCTGAGTATCGTCCAAGAGTAACCGCAAAAGAGTGCAAGAGACCTTTTTCTATTTTTCCATGCAAATACCGAATAATCATGAGTGTGGTTGCCTTGCTTTTGCATGTAAATTACCAGAGAAGCGGATGAATTCGCCTACGTGAAGAATAAAAACAAATATTGGGATATTGGAAAACAGATTTTGCGATGATAAAATTGCTTCCATAACTTAGGCACAGTGTGTCACTGTCACAACATTACTGGTTGTTAACCTCTACTCGTGTTTTTGAAAACCGTGAGCTGCATATGTTGTATGCAACCTGATATTCAAGATGAACTGAGACTGATTACCTATGCTAGTTTGAGCTCTCAATAGGGACTTACTATATCTAGAAACAGCATATCGAGGACTCCGTCGTGTTTGTTCGATTTTCGACACCTCTAGAAAATGCTACCTCGTCGATTCAGAAATGTCACGAGTCCGCGTTTAATGCATGTTTTATGGCTCACATTTCGATGGAGCTGGCAGTTGTATGTCTAGTGCTATAGTTCATGTTTTCAGAGTTATAATGTTGACACAAAATTCACCCTAAAATAAACAAGTTTTTGTGTGTATGCTATCACCTTGTTGGAAAACTCCTCCGCCATATCTGCTGCCCTCCGCCATATCTGCTGCCATAATTATCTTCACAATGGATCTGCCGTATCTCATGTAAAAGACTCAGAAACGAGAGTGCACCTTTAAGGCTCACATCACTTAAGGTTGCCCCTTTAAGCCACCCTAATCAGAGAATCGATAGTATATGCCCACCTCCTACGATAACATGCCAAATTCTAATCAAGTTCCGCCCCCACTTTTTTCCAAGTCATGACAAAGTGGATGTAGTCATCCGCCTTCACAACATACTACGAACATTCTCGCATTATAGTCGTGTTTCCTTTGTACTTTCTCTTGGATGTTCCCCCGTGGGTGGTCGGGGTAAGTAGGGGGATTTCGCGGTCCTTGACTGTCCCCTTTTCTTTCCCCCGAATTCCAAACATTCCACTGGACAACGCCTTGGGCCGTATGTGCTCGCTTTTTTTTTCTCCCAGGGTGTCATGACCCGCAAGTTTGACCATGGTTTGACCCTATTGTTTGACCCGAGGAGTCACTATACAGTACGGGGTGCAGACCAGTAAATTTCCATAGACTCTAAAGATATACATACCGTACCACTACCAGGACACCTACTTCAAATCAAAAAGTCGGGACAAATACTCTCAACTCTCACAGGTGATCAAGATATGCATCAAATTAAAGCTTGATTTGTCCTCTTTTAGAATCTGTTTCCTGGGTGATATTTCCTTCCAAAGTTGATCGCCCCTAAAACCAGTCCTGAAGCCCATCGCCATTTTCAAAAATGATCCCTCCACTCCGTTGCAAAATAGAACGACTTTCGGTGCAATTTCATCCCAAATTTCTCAGAAATACACGTTCAAATGCCAATTTAGAGCTTGGACCCCCTCATTTCTACAAACCCTCCAGAGTATGAGCCACAAAAATCTCTACTTTAAGAGAAAAGATATACAGTGTACAAATCGTGATTTGGCCGGCGTAGGCAATTATATGAGCCAATTTTATACTGGTCTGCATCCACTGGTGAAAAAAACTGCAATGTGCTACGAATGACTTTTGCTGGGTGGCCAGTTCAGCCAGTGCAACTAGGGAACACATTTTAATTGAGATTTGCGTCCACGTGACCTTATCACGTGAACGGCGCAAGATCCGCCATTTTGAAATAAGCTTTAATTTGCTGTGTAAGTGGCAACACCTTGCAGTGTTGGAGTATTTTCTCCTGAATTTCGAAAGCGCGCGTATTCATCACTGGGGTGATCTGTGGCAGTTTATTATACTAGTCCGCAACCGTAGACGTCCAATATGGCCGGCGTGCGGGTGACCACTGACCTGTGACGTCACGTGAATTCCTCATTTGCTAATAGCAAAAAGCGGTTACCAGTCAAAATGCATGCATTGTACATTGCACGCAACTGGTTCTCAACGGAGTTAGGCGTCAACATCATGTACAGTGGATGAACAATAGTTTCTACTGCATGGCAACTCCTTGTTATCTGGCCCAGATATGCCCGTTATGTTGAGGAATACCAATCTAATCGGTGCAAAATGCAGTGCTGTAAGAAATGGGGGGGGGGAATAGATGCATGAGATCGTTTCTCACATTGGTCAATAGAGGGCGTGTACCTCAAAATTACCGTAGTTTTGTTTCCAATGGCATTGCTAACAAATATCATGTTCATTTTGCAACGTCCCATAGGCAACACGGAGAATGCTTGGGACATTAAAAACTACTTTTTGGTATTTGTAACCTCTGCAGATGAAGTGCTTGAAAATTGCCTTTGTTGAGACACTGGCGATTTTGCCTACTGGTTGTGGTATTAAAGAGTAAAGAGTGATTTGTTTTTTGATAACCATGACAACTTGCGTTCAGATATCATCCATTCAAAAAGCTGTGAATATCGTTTGAAAAAAATGCTGCACACGCGCAGAGGTGATCCAATCAATGGCTTTGAATGCTAAGCTAACTCCCGGTCCCCATTTGGGGGGGGGGGGGGGACCGGTCTAAGTTGAGAGCTCCTACCTCACTAGTTCGCGTGCGCTACGTGACAAACCACCAGCCTAGGTGTAATGGCAGCTAGCTTTCGCACTTTCATCGGCGAGTCCATCACAGAAATAGTGTAGAAGCCGACAGCTTTGTGACTTGCAGAACCGAGCCAACATCTATCAAGCGCTCTAGATCTTCGTGACCAGCTTTCCTCGGGGATCTACCCCGAAGCCTACCAAGGGGACGTAACCCATGATCCGCCCTTGGCTTCCCCGAGACGCCACCCCTCATTCCTGGAACCATTCTCGGTCTTTCATTCGCAATTTTGACAGGTTCAACTTCAAAAGTTGGATCTTATGCCTTAGTTTTGTCTCCGGAGGTGGGTGACATATTTCACGCGACATGTCCCGCTGGGCCATCCGATGTCATTTTGGCCACAGAAGTGGAACAATTAGTGTAAGATCGGTTGAGTTCAAGCTTAGCGATTGAGAAGTTTAGAAAAGAAACACCCCGACACGAAGGTTACCAAAACTAGGGTAATTGTCTCATTACACAGACGGCTCTTTCATGGGGCTACGCGTCAACTGTTTTCCCCAGAGGAAACTCAGTTTCTAAATTCCTCGTGGATCGACGGGGAGGTGCAGCGACTCGAGACAGACTAGCTGGTCGAAGGGATGAACTTTGACCCCAAGCACTGACAGCAGGTCAAGGGTGTCATTAATTTGTGGTACAAATTGTACAAAGTGTAACACAAAATGCAGATATATGCTGCAAATGAT